GTTCAAACCATAAAGCACATCACTTTAGAAGATGCTTATAAACTGCCTCCTGGCTTGTTTAATTTGTATAGGTTTCACTTCCCTGAAATGCTTGTAAATACCTTGGGTGGGGTATTTCTTCTCTTTCCCTGACTACTTGCTAAAATGAATAGTGTGGAGGTGTCAAACTTCCCGATGGGGTAACCTAGACACTCCTCCAGGAACTAAGTTTAGAGATAAATTTTAAAAGCTGTGGTTTAGTAGGCAAAGAATGACTTTCCTGCACATTTCCCTCTTTGTCCCTAGGGATTTGATTTCTGTTGCTGGGACTTTTGTCATTCATAATAAAAGAGACAGTATCCCTGTAATTTTGTAGCAACATGATGCCATATCTGCAGCAATATGAGTTCTGAGCAATGAAATAAAGGTCAAAATAATATGAGATCCTTCTAGAAAGGATCTCACTTTTATAAAAGGAGGACTCAGCTGAGAAGGGGGGATTTTTTCCTCTTCTGCAACTCATGGGGAGTAACTGGAAATCTTGTAGTCATCTTAAATTATGGGTAAACTTAATTTAATGAATGGAAGTATGTCCTAGTATGTCCTAGTATGGTAGTACAAAATGACAGAAGCTAGGACTTCTGATAATACTGCGGAACTATCAGAGTTGCCACAATACCTCTCTCTGGTTTGTTTTTTGTTTTTTTTTTACTTACTTTGAGTGCACTGTTACTTTGGACTATAGTGTTTCTCTGCAACTCGGATAACATTAGTTGATACATGCTTACTATGTGCCACATCAGTAGTTGGAACAAAGAGAGAACTTTACAAAACCCTTCATGGTTCTCATAAAATGCAAGAGTTGTATCATATTTCAGACTCTGAATCAAAATTTACCTGATGGGCCTCTGGCATAAAAAATAGGGGCACACTATTTTATATATATCTATACAGAAATACAATATATAGTTACAAAATGTGTACATATACATATATACACACAAAGAAATATAAACAAATTAGATAATTAGATAGCATGAATATATGCACATGTATAGACATATGTAGTGTGTATATACACATACATCTATATATCTCATCTATTTATTTACAGTTTTTCAGTTTTCCTTTTCACTCTTCATTTCTGTAAGGTTAGTGGACATACCCCTATTTATCTTAGTAATTTGAATCTTCTCATTTCCTCCCCAACCCCCCCTCAAGTCTAGCTAATTTTTTGTCAGTTTTGTGCAGCTTTTCAAGAAACCAAATTTTAGTTTCTCATTGTTCTTCTCACTTGTTTTTGTCTCTTCTATCTATTCTGTATTGTTTTCTTTTTATTCAATTTCTACTCTTTTCTCTTCCCCTGGGCTTAGTTGGCTCTTCTTTTTTGAGTGTTTCAAGATAAAATGTTAGGTTATTTGTTACAGACATTTACATTTCAAATGTCTTTTCTGATGCATACATTTATAGCTATACATTTTCCTCTAAGGACTTCTTTAGATGCATCATGAATAAATTTTTAAAGTCCTATAGAAGACTTTGATGTGCACATTTGGTGAGAATAGACTGTACTTCTTTGCCACTGTGGAGTTTTTTTGTTATTATTGCTTTCCCCTTTTCTCAGCATGGTTGCTAACCTTTTGAATAGTCAAAGCAAATGCCTTGGTTTGGGTGTGTCGAGTTTGCAGAGTCTTGTTTGCACCATAAAGGTTTCTTTCACAGATGACTCTAAAAAGCAAGGACATATTTGCTCTACTTGGTCTTCTCTGTGAAATGAAGACTTCCTAGGTTGTATGGAAGTATCCTTTTCTGCCTGTATTTTGACAGCCTTGACACAATGCTTATATCCTTCCAGCAAAGTCAGTTAGCAGTGGAAGCTCCCTATACAATCCCTTGGCCTGTGTCCTTTGCTATTTGCTTTGCTCTCTCCATTATTTGGCAGCATGTTCACCCATTCCACGTGACAAGTGACATCATTGCTATAACGAGAATTCCAAGCAGCACCACTGGAATAAAGCCCATCTGTGTGCCTGCTCCCACACTTGACAAAACAAATTCCAAATTCATTCAGCATGCCGCTGCCATTTAGTCACTGTGACATATCCCAAATTTTGGACTCTGTGCAAAAACCAATCTGTGCCCACAAAATTAATCATGGAACACATTTTATGACGTTTGACAACAACTTAAAAGGTTCTCATCTCTGGCAGGTGGCTCTGCCAATCTGCAAGTATGTGCATGACAAATTTTGAACAGTATATTGTGTGGCTGAAAATACATCATGCAGGATGCACACCCTGGAGAGAACTAGAGTGAGTCCAATCAATCCTAAAGCTTGTCTCAGGGACGCATAAGCCAGACCACTGTCTCATGAAGGAAGGATGATGGTGCTAGGTACGAATGGAAAGCCAAAGAAAAGGCAACAGCTCGTGTGCCAGTAGATGCTGAGAACATTGGCACAATTGCCTGTGTTGGCAGGACCAAGAGTTTGAGATGGCTAATTTAAGCGACAAGATCCTGGCAAACAGATTTATTTAGGGCAAGGGTGCGTCAGGAAGATGCCAGAAAAATGCATCAATCTGTGCCTTTACATGTACTGTAGAGTGATGATGAAACAATTGACATTCAAAAAGAAAACCCTTGCTTTATTATAATCTGTAGCTCATCCTAACAAAAAGTGGGGTTTCCTTTAGATCTCTTGTATTCCAAGATGGGGCTTTATGTTTTGACCTGACATCTGTGATTCATGGAAAAGGTGTTCTTGAAGAGATTTCCCCGTATTGTTGTATTTGATTAGATCAACTGTTTAAGAGCTAGGTAATTTCATAATATTCGCTTCAAATAAAGGAAATCAGTTATCTAAAATTTTACTTGCTGAGGAGTATATTTTGCTTGCTAAGGAGTAAAGCACCAAACTTTACTGGAACAAAAAAGAAGACTATAGCTTTAGCTTTAGCTGTACTGATAGAAGACTGCATAGATCAGTTTAATTAAGAATAATTTTTTTTCTGAAGTAATTGCTCTAAATATCTATCCCATACAGCGGGTTCTATAATGGGACCTATAGTGTATAGCATGACAGGCCATAAATCAGTCCACTTAGCATATCTGCTTCCTCATATTACTTAACCATTTTCGGAACTTCTCTAGATAGACTCCTACCCTTAATCTTCCCCTCTGCTCCCTCTGTTCTTTTACTTGATGTTGTCTTAGTCCACTGCATTTGTCATAGCTGGAGTTAAGAAAACTATCACACTGTAGCAGCTATTTAGGACTTTGTGTTTTTTTATAGGAAAAACTAAATTTGCACAAAATGACTTATACTAGGATTTGACTTTCTATTCTATTCTTCTCTGAAGCAGGAAGTAACATGGGAAAGCAACATGTAAAGAAGCACTGTCCCACAGAGATAGAGATCAGTTCTTGAGTAGGAAGCCTGTTGAGTCAACATATAGCAAAAGCAGCCCTACCTAAAGGCTTCATCTGAAATATGCAAAACAGCTTTTTGCAGTTGAAGGAGTTGGACTCTCAAGGTCTCTCCCAATTCTGATACTTCAAGATATATTAAGGAGAGGCATTTTAGGGAATATCACTAAGTGGACTGTTTTATTTTATGGCCTGTCATGTTATACACTATAGGACCCACTGTATGGAATATTTAGAGCAGTTACTGGAGAAAAAAATTACTCTTAGGTGCTAGCTGCAGGGAGTGAGGACATCAGTATTCAAAGAACAGTATAGAGAAAAGGGGAGTGTAGTCGCGGAGTGCGCGGAGTGCCCTCAGGGGACCTGAAGTGTGAGTTTAGTTTGGGGTATCTACCGTTAGAGAATTGGACTAGACAAAGAAGGGCATTCCACATAAGAGCAGCACAAATGAAGACTTGGAAACAAAAAAAACTTAGTTTTGAATATGCCACCTGGACTAGCATGAGGTGGTGGCTCATTTGAGGGATAAGTGAGAATTGAGGTTAAATGGGTAAGAATCTGAAAATGCAACGCTTTAAAATAGGAGAAATCATTGAAAGTTTTTGAAGAGAAACCACTGAGGATGAAATCAGGTTTCAGGGGGAAAAGTGTAGAGTGGTGTGACATTGATGATGGATTAAAAGGAAGTATTATAATTGAGTGAAAAGAGTTGGTCCGAAGCCATCAGGAAGTTGTTAAAGCCATTTTGTCATGAAGTGTTGAAAAGTAAACCTTATCAGCACAGAACTTGAGAATATTTCGTTTAAATTAAGAATTGCGTTTTTTTCTTGATTTATAAAATTTTCAAAAGTGGCTCTAAGCATCGGCAGTGGAAAATTATTTGCTTTTTATTTCCTTTATATAACATTTCATTATCAGCTTTTTAAAATTTGTCTTTGATGTGCACTGAAAGGCCTCGTTCTCTCGCTCACCCAGTGCTTCACCTCGTTTGTTCCTCCTAATCTTACTTTCAGATTGGTAGGGAAATTGGCCCCCTTGATTTTTAAAGCAATGTTGTCCAACCCAAAGAATTTACAATATCCCATCGTCACACGTGGGTTCGAACCCTGAGTTTAATGGAAAAGACCTCGAAAAACAGGACGCTTCGTGGCACAGATGGGGAAACCGAGGTCCCAAGTGGTTAAACTGAGCGGTCCAAACTCAGCCATTAATGGTCAAACCGGGACAAGAACTCAGACGCTCCCAAGTGTAAAGAAGGGGTCAAAATCACGCGAATCCCAAGGGAAGAAGCAAGAGTCGAAGCAAGAGTCAGAAAAGGGCTCTTTTCAACTTTAGTGGGCCAGGGGTTTGAGAACTTTGCGAGCCACCCAAAGAACAGCGCACTTGACTGATTGGTACCCACAGGCTTCCCCATCCGAGGGGCACGGGCGCCGCAAAACAAACCGCAGCCGCGGTTCCCGCCGACCAACCCCGCGGTCATTCCCGTTCCCGCTCTCGCGATACTGTCCGCTCTAGCCTTGCTCGCCTCCCACTAGGCCCCGCCCAGTAGGCCCCGCCCCCTTCACCGCAGCCCTTCAGTCGTCATTTCCTGTGGGTCTGCGGGCAGAGGGAGAAGATGGCGGCGCTGGGGGAACCTGTACGGCTGGAGAGGGGTGAGTGCGGCCGATGCTGGACCGAGTTTGGGTAGCATGGGTGGAGGAGTGCCGTGCCGCCAAAGGCGGGTGGAGGAGCGGCCAGGCTCCGACACCTGAAGCCAGGCTGACCCTCGAGCTAGCGCGATAACTGCCTACGTCGTAGCTTCCGACCCCAGGGAGGGCGCTTGCGACCTCTGGATGGGTCCCATACCCCTCCTCTGTGTCCCGGGCCCAGCGCTATTAAACACCACCAGGTCTACTTCGCAGTCACTCGCTGCACGCGCTCTCCCTAGGTGGGTATAGGAGATGCGGCGTACAGAGACCTGTCAACCTAAGAAGCAAACACTACACGCCCAGTTCCGACCGCCTAAACGCCCTGCCGGTATTACGCGCGCTCAAGTAGGGTGTCTGGGTTTCCACCCTCACTCTGGACATACAAAGCATTCACATGGAAACCACCCCCAACCCCCGCCTTCCCATATTTATGCGATTTATGCGCACATTCCAACGTTATTTATATTTCTGTTGGGTTGTTTCCTGGCTTTGGTGCTTCCCAGGTACGGAGAAGGTGCTTTAAAAACAACCCTGATTTGTTCTGGGGAAGATTATATAACCTGATGGAATCTTGGTAGTTGTTAAATACTTGAATATGCATTCTTTTTCCATCTTCACAAACCCTGTAATTGATGTCTCTGAGAGGTTGCTTGCGTTTCAGAACAAACTGTCAAGGAAAATATGGTCTATTTTGTTAAGTGGGAACAGAAAAATATATAGTTATCTTACTGGTAGGGCCCTTTTACAGATTTTCAGCATTCTACTTTCTCCTCTCCAAATTCTTTATCTCCAGTAATTTGTGATTTGCTTTTGTCACACCGATGGAAGTCACTGTTAAGTGTCAGCCAGTACAAACTAAAAATTTTGAATACTAGTAGCAAACTAGTATAGAGATCGGAACTCTTGCAAATTAACACTTGCAGTTATTAGCTGAATGTTAACATCAGCTTTAAGAAGGAAATAAAAATTTTAGAAATACTGTATTTAGAGAAACCTTTTCCAATGCCACAAAGGATTTCACAATTAACTTTGTTTATTCGTTTTGGTATTCTTTATTCATTATTTGTAAGCCTCTTTATAAGTGACATTGTTTCTCTCCAACCCACCAGCCTATTAATTAAAGCCTCATTTTGACAGAGGAGAAGCTACTCTGGGAACTCTTGCTAAGTTTGACCTATGCCTGTGACATCTTCCTCCTGAGCACAGTGTTATTATGCTTTGTAAATGGGAACAGATCTGTTTGGCCTTAACAGGAGTGGGTGTTTTTCATTGAAAGTCAGTTGTGGGATTCTAACATGTTGCAGTCTTTTGTATTTTTAAGTGCAGCATAAGATGTGAAACCACCACTGGCATTTAGTTTTGGTAGGATTGGTTTTGGGTTTAGTGGGTGAGTTTTGGGGTGTTTTTTGTTTGTTTTTGTTTTTTTTTTTTTTTCTGTTTCAGAGTTTAAAAGAATGTTCAGAACCTTAGAATTTATTAGTGATTAACATCATGAAAAGTCAGATTATATCAATTTTGAGCCTTTGGAATTTTGTTTAGCGACTTTGTTAAACTTTCAGCAGTATAAAAATTTATGTCTGTGATCAAGATCCTGAATGCTTGCAAAAGCATCAAAACATGATTCAGTGGAACACATTTGAGCACTTCCTAGCTAGTTTAAGTTTAATAAAGAGTGTTTTGCTTTTTCAGCTTTTTAATTGTATATTCTTATAGAGCTTATATTTGTAACTTTGTAAATCAAAATAATTGGTAAGTCAACAGCCATTGATGTTGGCATTGGCCATTTGATGATGGGAAATCAGAATGGTCAAAGTTTATTTGCCTTCCACTTGATTATTATAAGATTTTGTTTCCTGAATTAAAAAAAAAATCTGTATTTTCCCAGCTGTAGGCACAAAGAAGGCTATGCTAATCTTATAAAGAAAGGCTATGCTAATCCTTCAGTACAATATAAAATTCAAAGTTTCTACCAATTAGGAAAAAGGGGCAAAGAATAGAAGAATAGGTACTCTTGCCTCCTTGGGTGCAAAAAATGAGTTGGGGGGAGGGAAGTCAAAGTACAGATAGTCCTTAACAGTGTTGTAACATGATGCTGAATCTTAAGGAAATTTCTTAATTCATAAAATACTTACACTCCCTAACATGCCTAATAAATTTGGTAAATGTGTAGAGAGCTTGGATATTTTTTATGATTAATTGCTGCCAATGTAACATAACACTCAAATGCTTTGAGTATGCCAGGCTCTTAACATATATCTTTTGGTTTAGTTCTCAAGTAATTCTTATGAGGAAGGTACTCTTACTTCCATTTTATGATAGAGAAATTGAGGCAACAGGGAGATTAAATAACTTTCTCCCAAGATCACAGAGCTAGTGTTAGGACCGAAATGATAAAACTAATTGTATTTTTCTATTTTTAAACATATATTTGATTGACTTTGTTTTAATTAAAGCATTGTATTAATGATCCAAAGTTGAAAATAGGCCTGTCAGTTTCATTCACTTGTATACTATCATATTAAATGTGTCCTTACCACATAATGCATCTGTTACTGAGTAGTTTATATCTTCATAGTTGCTATGTTTCTTTTGGGCAATGGACAGTGATCTTACTAACAGGCCATGTTTTGTTCTCTCAGTGCATTGGTTGCTAATGATAGGTAAATTTTTATTAACTAAAATGCTTGTTGATAAAATTGTCAGCTTCTCAGAGGTACTACAGTGTTCGTGTATCCCCAGATTTGAGCCCCCGTTCTTTTCCTGTGATATTTAGTGTTATATGGAGTTTACCTGTATCTGTGCAAGTTGCTGTTTTTCAGGTTTCATGCTGTATAGCAGCAGTATTCCTGATCTGTAAAATTTAGCATTCTCAGATTTTACATTCCCACTCTCCATAAGTAAGTATACACACACACACACCCTTACCTCCACACATAAGCTCACAATTTTATGCTTCTTTTCTACTGTGTTCTTCATTTTTCTTGTTAGTCCTGAAGGAATGTATCCTAACTGCAATACTGTTACGTAGTCATTCAGAGAAACTTCAAAAAATAACCAGTAAATGTGTGTGTTTAACTTTAGATATTTGTAGAGCAATTGAATTGTTGGAAAAACTGCAAAGAAGTGGAGAGGTACCACCACAGAAACTTCAGGCTTTACAAAGAGTTCTTCAAAGTGAATTCTGCAATGCTGTAAGAGAGGTGAGTAAATGGGATTAAAATGTATTAAAAACTTGATCTAGCTAGGTAAACAAATATGCTGAAATTTGAATTCATAATGTAAGAAGTTAACTTTAGGAAAACATTAGAACTCTTACATTTTTGGTATTCCTAATAAAAAACATTTTACAAAGATGATGATTTTGCCAAAAATTTTTACACATTCATTAATTTCACAGAGAACTCAAGCATGATATGTTCTGAGATTTAAAATCACAATGATGGCCTTTCCTGATGGCGCAATGTATTGAGTGCAGTACTATGAAGCTATCTGCAGCCACATTAGCACGAGTTTGATCCTGGCCAGGGAGGTGACCCACATGGCGGCAGACCTCTCCTGACCCACCCTCTGCTCCCTGCAGCAGTGTACTTCATCAGTCTGCCTATTCTGTCTCTAGTGACTCCTCTCACTGCCTCTGGCCTGTACCCCAGTTCTCTGCATAAATGAATAAATCTTTAAAAAAATAAAATCACAATGATAACTTCGGATTTTACAGGTGTATGAGCATGTCTATGAGACTGTGGACATTAGTAGCAGTCCTGAAGTGAGAGCAAATGCAACTGCAAAGGTACTTTTTTTTTTCCCATTTACTAAGAGTGAGCAAATTCTTTGTGATTCAGTGGTTTAAAATATGCAGTTATTTAATTCATAATAAGCTTATTTTGAAAAGCAACTTAGAGATATTTCAAACAGCATGAAACTTCTCAAATACTGAGAAGTAGGGCGTTTTTAATTGACATTACAAAAGGTATTTTATAATACAGTTTAGATAGTATGTTAAAATACACTTGTAGATGAATAATAATACATGACACATAATGCATGATTCTTACAGGTATATAGCTATACATTATATAAATGTTCATCAAAATTCTGAAATTCATTATATTGGTAAGGAAACATCAAATTAGATTACTTCACTCAAACCACACAAATAGCAGCTGGTAGAACTGGAGAGCGCCCCCAGGTTGGTTGCTCTTTGCTGTCTCCATTACCTTGACTGTTTAAGTATAGAGTAATGATCAAGAGTAGATTACCTCTTTAGAGTTGCAGGTGGTAGTTTTATTTGCTTTTCTAAGCTAGTGTTTTCTCAAACCCAAACATTGTCCTCAGTGACCCTCATACATGATTAGAATAAGTTGTTACTAGCACTGGGGAACTTAACACTAGAATTGGTCATGAGTATGTAATTTTTCTTTTATAGTTACTGTTTCACAAAAGAAAGTTTTGAATACAGCCATTTGGCTATAAATACAGAATGGAATACTACTATGGAAAAATGAATTTTTACCGTTTGTGACAACTTGATGTACCTTCAAGGGGTTATACTAAGTAAAATATTGAGAAGCTGAAAGACAGATTCTACATACATACATCACTCTTGGAAGATAAACAAAATCAAAAGAGAAATACATGTTTTGATTCTGACAATAGAATGGTGGTTACCAGAGGAAAAAGGTGGGCACAGGGTGGAACAGGTAGAGGGAGTTGATTGGATGGTAACTACACCATGTGGCTTATTCAATTGTCAGGTACACCTGACACATAGTGTTAACATAAAAAAGATGCACCTTGGAAAAAAAAATGTGCATTTAGTTGGGTAGATTAGGGAAAAACCCCAGAACCTTGTGTTTAATTCTTGACTTAGATCATTTTCTGAGCCTTAGTTTGCTTGGTAAAGTGAGGCCTCTGTCAGACTTATAACATAGTGCTAGTCAATAAATCTTGATTTCCTTCCTTTCCCTCTTGTCTTTTTAATCTTGTTTTCTGGGCCATCACAGAAAATGGTACTTAAATACCTTAAAAACAAAATGAAGCCAAATATCTCAGCTTTGGGTGGGTTCTGTCCTGCATAAGCCCCCGAACGAGTTAGGCTATTTAATTCCAAAGCTTGGGAGAGCTGGCATGCTGGGGGCAGTGTGCTCTTCTGTGCTGTGCTCCTGGTTCACCTGCCTGGCTGGCACTGGCCACACGTGACATGTGTGGACCAGCAGTGGCCTGATCTGTTTTTACGTTTCTTTACAGCATCCAAGGGTTGCTCTTGTCTCCTTCAAACACCATCCACTACTAGTTTTAACTTCCCTCAGAAGTTGTGGGCATTCAAACACAAAGGTATTTACCTCAAACATAGTTTTAAGAGACAAAAAAAATGAAGTAAAATTCCTTTCAGGCTACTGTTGCTGCATTTGCTGCCAGTGAAGGACATTCTCATCCTCGAGTTGTTGAGTTACCCAAAACCGAAGAAGGCCTTGGATTCAACATTATGGGAGGCAAAGAACAAAACTCTCCAATCTATATATCTCGAATAATTCCAGGTGGAATTGCTGATAGACATGGGGGCCTCAAGAGAGGAGATCAGCTCCTTTCTGTTAATGGCGTGGTAAGGATGAATTTTATTCTGTTTGTAGTAATATGGAGTGACCACTTGGGGGTGCGTTTGAGTTACAACACAAGAGGCAGGAGGAACCAGAGTTCTCTATACTTTAGATCTCCCTTGGGGAAATCCTAAGCAATACTATTTACTACAGTGAAACTTTTATAATTACTTTTTAGTATGTTTTGCCTTTTCTCCTGTGCAAATTAGCTGTATTTAGTGTTATTTTTATAAAGTAGCTAAGGTCTTTAGGAGTTAAGACAGAACATTAAAAACATTAAATGAGAAATTTGCCTTCATTTTAGTCTTATTGAATAGCAGTTGCTTGATTTACATCTTACTTAGTACAATAAAAGACGTATTTGTTACTGATTACTTAGGAACTTACAAACTAGTTCCTATACACAGATTGTCTGACTTAACAGGATTTTACCTGATTAAAATAATAAAGCAGGATTGTTTTATAGGTTTATAGTATAGTACATTGCAACTTTTAAAAATTTTGAGTTACTTCCAAAACCTAAATATTAATTGTACATTTTTTTTTAGAGTGTTGAAGGAGAACATCATGAAAAAGCTGTAGAACTACTGAAAGCAGCACAAGGAAAGGTTAAATTAGTTGTGCGGTATACACCCAAGGTCTTAGAAGAAATGGAGTCGCGCTTTGAAAAAATGAGATCAGCAAAACGCAGACAACAGACCTAATGCAGCTCAAAACTTTCTATTCCATTTTGCTTTTCACTAGAGGGGTTTTATTTGTGACCTACTGATGGCCGCAATGCCAATGATTGTAAAAAAGAAAAAACAAACTTCCCGTGAAATCTTCCTTGCCATTTTATAAATGCCTATTTTAACATCACTTACGGTTCCAGAGATGCATATACTTTTTTCTGACAAGAAAAAGTAAAAGGTGATGAGGGCAATTCTGTCCTGCTGTTTTTACAGGCCTTTTTCAAATGCAGATTTTGTCATAAAGTTGTTATAGATTTTTAAAAATGCTTTTTTAATATTAAAATGTACTTTTACATTCTTAATCTTTTTTTAGGAAAAAAGTTTGCTTTCTTTGGCTACTTATTTGAGAATAACAGTTCTCCAGTTCTTTCTTTGTTTACTCTATTTTTTTTTAGCCTATAAAATTTCATCATGGTTTTCCAGGAAATTAAGCATACAGTCTCGGCTACAGCAGTTCATTACACTATCATTGTTAACATCTCTGCTGCATTTTGTAATTTGAACACACATATATAATCAGTGGTAAGTCATAACTCAGCACAGTGGAGGTTTTTTACTTTAAACATAATGAATATTCATTTATACTGATTTGTAAAAGCTAGTTTTTAAACACTGAAACAACATTGCTGAAATACAGATTCTTTCATAATTGAGCAATGAGACAAGTAGATGTAATTTTGATTGTTAGCATTACTGATTATATCTCTATTTGTATTCAACAATATAGCTCATAAGTAATGTAAAAATAAGTTCAGGTTATATCTTTTGCAAATTTTTTTAGTGCTCTCCATCTTTACCTAAGTATATTTCTTACATTTTGGTCATTCCATTCTTAGTGAGGAGCCAGTTAGTTTGTTGGTGGGAAAAAGCGAAGCAAAGTAGTGAAAATAATACTTTTAATCCCACTAGCCTCAAGAGTTTTACACTTAGACTAGCTCAGTAATAAAGGATTGATTTTTAAATAGGAAGGAGATTGGGTATATTTAGGATATATAGGAATTATGACTTGATGTGTTTGTAAGAATATGAAGACTATAAAAATGAGTCAAGACTCATTCATATTAAAATAGTTGGACTTAAAGATGTGTTTAAAAATGATTTAAATGTGATGGGAACTTAGAGAGGTACCTTCATTTGTCCACTGGATGTCACTATTTTACTGAAAGGCAGCTATTAGTGTATTACTGACTGAAGTCTTAAAAACAAGAGTTAAGGTTCGTTTTCAAGGATATTTGTATGGTTTTTAAGTGACGTTAAAATGAAGATAATGGATTGAAATATGTAAGGAATTTAGCATCGTTATTGACCCTATATTAAAAAAGGGCATATTGTAACATTCCTTCAGGAAGAACAGAAATGTATACTTTTTTCTGCATGTTTGTGAAAAGCACTGTGAGTGTTAAAAGATTATTCCAGTTTTCAATGATTTTCAGAATATAAGTCAATCAGCATTGTTATTTATCATTTAGGTATTGAACACTGGATTGCATGGTTGAATGTGTCTTTAGTCCACTACAAAAATGTGCTTCTTGTTGACAGGATCATGTTAAATTGTGTATTTTCAAAATGTTGAGACCAAAGTAGCATAGAAAAATTATGGATTTATTTTAATTTAATTGTAAAATTATTAGAGGTATTTGTTGTAGAGCTTTATATATTAAAGAGAGGTATTGGTGCATATAAAAACAGTAATATTGTTATGCTTGTATTCTTGCATTACTGGGTAAGTAAACCCTGGAGAAATCTTATTTTAGTATAGCTACAGCTGCAGTAGCTTTTAAGGGCGTGTCAACATTTCATTATAAATTATAGCTTCCTGGTTCAGTATCTCAGCTGTTTCAGAACTTTCAGCCAAGTTAAATCTTTTTTGGTGTTGAAACTTAGTAAGTTGAGTAAGCTATTTTTTTTTCTTCTACAGTAATCCACAATCTGTTCTTTGTGTGGGTTGGCACTTATTTATAATTCTTAAAATAAGGATAGCTTAAAGGAGCCAAATACAGTAGTTTTGCTTGCTACTGTTGAGCATGAGTAGCAGTAGTTTGTTTTCATTAATGCAGTTTTCACAGTGTATCCTAGAATTTTAAAGCCTGGCCATAAAAAAGTTCAGTCATTCAGTGACAGAGATGTGCAGTAGTGATTAGTACAGTGAGGAATGAGGGAAAACTTTTGTCTTAACGAATAAATGTATGACTCTTGAACATAGGAACATAGTAAGTATTTAACAGGTGTTTGATTTGTAAATTATAATTGTATATTGCTCCCCACCCATTCCATTTATTTTCTTGGTATGGAAAAATGAGTTGACTCAGTGGTTCTCAGCCTTAACTGTATACTAGAACACCCTACAGAACTTTCTTCCTGTGTTCCATTCCACACCAGCTAAATCAGAATCTCTAAAGGTGAGGTCAAATGCTTTTTTTTTTTTTCCTTTAAGCTTTTAAGGTGGTTCTAAAGAACATGTAGGGTTGAGAATCACTAGTTTCCCCTTTTATAAAATGTTCTAATTACACTGGACTATGTTTGAAATATCAAAATAGGATATTCAGTTTACAGCTATTACTAAATAACACCAAATATAATGATTATATTTTAAATAATTTTTTTAAGGAATAAAAGATATTTGGCATTCCTTATTTAGGAAATGATTACGATCTCCCTTTTTTCTATTTTTTTAAATAAAACCTGCCAGTAGTTTTAAAGACAAGCCTTTAAGGCCTGTCATCTTTCTGCCCTCTTTGCCTTTTAAGCTTACAAAATTGAATGTTTTATTAGAGAAAGCATGTTTAAAAATTGCAGATGAGAAATATTGTCATTGATGATTATGTGCAGTCTTACTATGGCCACTTTATCCATTAGAATAATACTAGATTATACTGGCCTAATTCTTTGGATTTCATAACTCAGATGATTTTTTTAAAAATTGTCTTCCTCTTCTAAATTTTTAAGTTACTTTGCTCAAGTACTTAAGTGGTTTGGCTCAAGTACTTCGTTTACAATTTAAATAGATATAACATTTAATAGAAGAAATGGTTATGGCTTATCTGAAAAGAATGTCAGCATGTCTTGGTGGTGTAATTTAAAACATGTTGTGAAATATTTTATAATGTGGAATGATCATTGAACTATCAAGAACTCTAATCATTGTATTTCCTGAATAAATGTATGTTTCTGAAGTTTCTAACTTACATTTTGTTGTATCCTCTGCTAATAGTCTGGTTTTATACTTTTTATTGTCCAGAATTTGACTAATTATGTTTCTTCAAAGGTTGTTGCAGTTTTGTAGTGGTTAAATTATGGGCAAAAAGCAAATTACTTTTTTTTTTTTTTTTTTTTTTCCTTTAAGCTTTTAAGGTGGT